CACACACATACAAACAAACAAAGCCCATTTGATACTCGAGAGCAAAACTACAAAGCAAGCCATGTGCTTAAAAACCCGCTTAGCTTGGCACCTATATTGTAGAAGTAAGCAATGATACTTATACAAAACTTGATATATTTTTCAAATACCTACTTAAACAACTTGCATTGCATTGCATTGTAGTAGTACAAGCCATCGGTAAATCCAAACCACGAGTCACCATCGACCTCAAGCACCACATGAAAACGCACAATTTTTTCTCGATAATAACATCTCAAACGCAAATTGAAAAATCAAACCCAGTGGCTGCAGCGGCAGCAGTGGCCATGGACGAGAGGCTCCCCCAGCCGTCGCCGCTGCCGCCGCCGCAATTCCAGCTCGGGAACCCCATGTCCGCTCCGGCGTCGCCCTACTCCGCGCTCCACCCTCTCCTCCTCCCGTCCACTAACCCGCACCTCCTCCTCAAGCCCAAGACGCTGACCCTCTCGCTCTCCTCCTCCTCCCTCGCCTCCATGCCCTCCTCCTCCTCCCCGCCCGCCCCCGCCTCCGACGCATGGGAACTCGTCCACCCAACCGTCCCCGTCGCCGCCGCCTCCCCCATCGACGGCGGCCTCGACGACTGCGCCATCTTCCCACCGCGCCTCCACGAGGGCCTGGGCCTCGAGGCGGAGGCCGAGGAGGCCGCGACCAAGGAAGAGAAGGAGGAGGAGACTGATGACGAGGAGGAGTGGCTGTGGGGGTGGGGGAGGTGCCGCGCGGCGGCGAGGCGCGCGTGGGCGGCCGGGTCAGGGGCCGTGCTCGTGCACGGAGAGTGCGGATGTCCCGGGGTGAGGCCGGCCGTCTGGTCGGCCGCGGCGGCGGCCGTTGTGGTTGGCGCTCTGTTCTACGTGCGCCGGCGAGACAGGAGGGAGAGGGACCTCCTCGTCCTGCTCTCGCAGGAGAAGGATAAGGTTTGTGGATCTCGACAACCATTGGTCATGATGTGAATGCCATCTCTGTGTTTGGCACATCTTGAACTTAAGCTGAATTCATTGATTGGACCCAAGATATCTAATTGGCATCTATCATCATTAGTATTGCTGACATTCAAACAATTGATAATTTGGGAAGCCTTGATGTATGGATGAACCTTTGAGAAGCCGTTTCTATATTTGTTCTTACAATTGATATTTGTTCTTACAACGGTTGATGTTGGGGATCACTGGGAGATGAACAGATATCCTTTATTCACTCCATTTGAGTGTATTTAGACAATTGGTGTGTCAGTCATGGATGATTAGAGGTCTTGCTTTTGGGGCTGGTTCAGGGAAGCATATGGTGTAGAAGACTTTGTATCCTTCGTTTAGGTAGTGTTTTTGCCATGTTTCACAGGTTCCAAATAAACTGTACATCTCCATCTTAGCATTTATCTTGTTATAATTGATGTGTACCTTTGTCATAGCCTTCTGTCTAAACATACTCTACCAAACAACTGTCTGTATTTCTCTCATCTACGGTTGCTACTGTTGAGTCTTGAGAATAAGGTAGAAATGCATTTGGCAGATTGGCACTACTACACATATGATCGTTTTTCGATGCCCCCCTCATTATATTCTTATTCTTTCTTGTTGCAGAGGATAGCACAACTGCTGCATCAAATTGCTTTACTGAGTGACATCAGAGGCGGCAGCGAAGCAGTTAAAATTATGAGGAACTCTTAACCGTTGCTTCACTGTAGATGAGGTTTGGTTGTAATACTGTGTAGCACTTTGGTTAGGTAGTTGCAGCATGTTTTCATCCGGAAGTGCTCCAGGACCGTGTACCTTGATC